AGTCTGGTAGCGGCAATCACTGTGAGTGGGCGACACGCGTTTCTCGTAGGTTATCAGCCTGATGAGGCACTCCAACCTTCCTTCCTGACCTCTTACTCCCTGCCTACCACTCCCCACTCTCTACAACTTCTCCTCCGCTGCCCGCGTACTTACTTTTCTGTCCTATCTCTCTCTTTCTCTCACCTTCTTCCCAAATCGCCTCGTCTCATCTCTTTGCTGTTGTAACCAAAGGGCGGAAGTTTATCGACGAAACTTCATGCCTGTATCTATGTAAGTTTCTCTGTTCGCCTGAGATAGTTTCTAAAAAAATCTGCGGTGAATGTTTCCGATTCTCTCTGTCTTGCGGCACGCGTTTCCTACGTACGCGATGTAAGTGGTTTCATCTTGTCGGAGTTATTTATTCTTCTTGAAATTCTTGTTAGTGTTATGGTGAAATGATAGTAAAATAAATCTTTTACGAAACGTAATGTATTCATTCGCTAGCGATCAAGTGATAGGTTTTTTTCGGTGGATGATAAGACTGATCGATACGACGATTGAAGTTACGATTTTGCGTGGCTGGACCACAACCCCTGTCTCACACTCTGAACGTCCGCACGAAGTTTCACCATATGACGCTACCGATCGAGTGAGCTCACTCGCGGTGGGGTTGGTAATGACGACAAGGGTCGCGACGTAACCTCTGCGACATGTGGCAGCGTCGTATAGCTCGGGCCAAAACAATTTGTATTAAAATGAGCGTTGCCTTGCGACCACCGGCGATTTCGTTAGAAATTGCAAGAAAGTGGTAGAAGAGGAAGGGAGAGAGAGAGAAAGGAAGGGGGACACACTGCTCGTGATATGCGCGCTCACCCCATTGCGGCGAAACACCTACTGTACGTTCCACTAAAGATATATGTAAATTTCAGCAAGTTCAATTTTTACAAACTGTAAAATATACGTGCATCGAGCTTGAAAAACTGCGTAAAATGGAAAACCGTTAAAAAATATCTTATTCATGTATAAACGCATATTACTATGCATAATTATTTATGAAGTTCTGTCGGTATTTAATGTAACCGGCTACTAAAAATAAAATTCATATAATTTTCATGTATAAACCGCAAATTTCCGGTAACTAACTTTTTACGTAATAGTATTCGTCATGCTACACTAGATGCGTCGACTTAGCACGTGCGTGCTCAAATCTGTACGTGCGGAAACCGCGCGAAGTCGTGAAGCTTTCTTCATGCGCATTCTTGCGACGGTCGATGCAGCCACCGACGTTCGACTGCTTACCCGGAGAGTATGTTTCTCGTGACAACTTTAATAAAAATCCTCATGGATTGAACAACATTATAGAGAGATGAGATGTCGCAAAAATCTTAAAGAAATATCGCAGAACCTCCGCAAAGAAGAAAGGATAATAAAATGAGCGAATATAATCGTCAGCCGATTAAAAATTATCGTTTAATCTCAAAACTGTGAAGCATCGATCAAAGTTATCTTGAAATTAATTTACAAAAGAAAAAAAAGAAGGCAAGGAACGCTTTCCACCGGGATCAGAAGACATCGGACGATTAAAGATATTACTTGATCTGATCTTGTAAACATATTTTAAGGACAGGCGACAGGCTAAGAAGTGATCTATGCAGGACGTCGCCGGCTCGAGGAGAGCAGAAAGTTCGCCGCAGGCGAGACGCGATAACGAGCGATAACATTTGGTCTTCATCGTTGCTTGACATATTCTCGTCGGCCTTTTAAAGACGCTGTAAAGAGCGTCGATACGAGGCGCACACGATCGCCGCCGAAAATTGTCCCGACGCGGTCGAGTGGTCGGGCTGGTTTCTGCTACCAGAACCAGAATAGCCACGTTCCGCCTGATAACGCCGCAGACAAGTGGCACGTGTCGCCGGCGCTTCCTCTAAAACAGCAGACAATGACGCACTTAGGGAAGATCAACGTTCAAGGCATAGACTCGAGAGGTCTGATAATTCATTTTTAGAGTGCACGCGCGCCCATTTACCACATCGTCGTGCATCCTTCGCGCACACGTGTATATATGTGTGTGTGTATAATCGTTCGTTATCAAAGAAGAAGTCGTATAAAAGTAATTCGACCAAATTTCACCATTATTCAGAAATTAGTGATAAATAATAATACATGTGTAATATATCGAGACCCTCATATTCGTATTCAGATCGTGAATGCATCCAAAGTCTTGGTAAGCAGCGAATATCCGCTGTCGCTTCGCGAGCGGCCGTTGCTGATTCCGAAATATCTAAAGAGGGTTCATATTCATCCTCGATTTTTACGATGTCCATTCTTTTAGTACCCGAGAGTGGCCGTGACCCTTAAAAATCCGTCTCCCGAACCTCTCCTCACTGAGAGAGAGAGAGGTCCTCCCTTCTTGATATCCGATAAGGGTCCCTCGTGGGAACGTTTTCCACATATTTATATCCTCTTATCTAAACTTTAGATTTTTGGATTGGTCGTGGCGATTTATGATTATCGTGCTTCTGGTACGCGGCACGACTTCCAGATCTCCTGATGCTCTTCCGAAGGCTTTGCCGAATGCGAACTCCCTCTTTCTTGTACTGTAATATTACTGGAATATCCACTTTTCGAGGACTCTTTTAATTTGATTTCCTCAGGAGACGCGAGGTCATCGTACAATTCGATTCATGTCGCCGTAGTCACTCGATGCATATTTTCCATTCGTAATTTGCTTTTACAACCGGATTTTAAATCACAAGAGTCTCGTAAAAATACCATCGAGGTGCGGAACGTTGCCTAGACATTAAGACTAAATATTAGAGAGGATAAAAAATTCGAGAAACCTCAAACGCGTATCGAGTTTATAATTCAGTGATTGCAGTCGAGAAATTATATAGCCTGTATCGCTGTACTATTTTATAATATTTGACAATTAATCAAAAAAGAAAAGGAAATAATCGAACGGCATTTCTTGAGACAATTGTGTTTGTGCGGCTTAAATAGAAATCAATAAATTTAGAAAAACATAAACTAAATTCCTAAATTAATTCCACAGGTATCCGCGTGAGAATCAACATAAAATTGAACTGACAAATTTCTCTTATTTTGCCGGCGGAAGGCGTTTTAGCTACGACAAACTAGCGAATCAACAACGCACTTGCGATGTCTCTTCTTTATCGTTAGATAAAAAAGAAGAGTTGAACGCAACGCGGGAATATCTCAGATCGCAAAGACTATGTCATCGATCGAAACTGAAAGCCTAAATTACGCTTCGCCTTCAGTTTCGAATGACGACGACGACGACGACGACGCGTCATTTGGATTTGGGCATTATAGAACTCGGAGAGACAACGTGGGTGGCAACAATAGCTCTCTCTCTTGAACAAGCAGATTCTGATGGCGCGACACGAATTGTACCGACCGCACGGTTTGAAGGTGATTGATCACCGTTGCCGATCGCACGCACACACGCGAGCGCGCTGCGTAAGAACACACGCGGCTGACAAGGAGTCACTTGTCGTCGTCGTCGTCATCGTCCAGATCTGGATTTTCGATGGGAGAAAACCGCGGGAGGTTCATATTCGGAGGCTCCGACGATCCTGACTGATCGAAAAATAAAAACGCGGCGATCAAACGGGGCTTTCGGATGGCATACCACACGCATTCGAATCCAATAGAGATTAAATTTTACTGTAATTCATATAAAGCTTAATTTTTTACAATAGTTTCTCGATCGGCACTTAGAAAATGATGGCGAATATTTCCAAGATCGATATGTTTATCAATTTTATCGCAAATAAAAGAGACGCCGGATTAATTTGCGCGCCTGATAATTATTCTTTAATTTAAATTTGAATTAAAAATGACTAAATATTTAGAATTAATATATAATATGTAATGAATCACAAACACAGATACAAATTTATGTTTAAAGAATTATAAAAAAAAAGATCAAGTGTTACTTCTCTATGTTTCGAAGTGCTGGTCAGCAAGCCTGTGCAGCATCGATCGGAATAAATGATAATCTGAAGGAGCACCGGTGAATACGCGGCGTGTGGTAAGACTTCCCAGACTGATCTTGAACTGATTTTGCAGCGTGTAGTCGATGCGCAAGAAAATCGCGTTTTCTCTCAGCTTATAGGAAAAAAAGAAGAGCCGGAAGGGCGGGATGTGTGAGTGAATTCAAGTATTCGCCTTGTTCTAATCGGGTTACCTGGCAGCAGCACGTAAGCGGGGGACGTCGCGACGGGCGACTAGAAATCTACCGGCGATAGTATCTCTTGCAGTCTCGGTCAGCACCCCCTTGGCGACTACGGCACAGATCTCGCGCCATTATTCAGTCCGGTGGTGGTGGCGGCCAGATATAAAACAGCATAAACAGCCAGTCAGCCGTGCACGGGTGGAAGCGCGAGAGCAGAGCGAGCGAGGATAAGCGCGGCCGCCCATCGCGTCTGGGACACCGCGTAAAAATGAGTTGTGTCAACGTACGTCCGGGGGGTCCCCCGCCACCACCAGGTGGTAAGGCGGCTCGTTTTATTACGTCGTTACGAGAGCTCGTCTGTTTTCGTATAATAACTCTTGGATATTAGGACGCGCGAGGAATCCGGCTTTGCAGGATCACTGGGAACGATTATAATCTGAGAATTTTGCCGAGAAGAAAAATCCCTTTTTCACGAAAACACCGTCACTCGAGAAATGTCGAGCCTAATAATCGCCGGTGCGCTAATTAACACCGGGAAATTTTCGTCAGCGCGATTCCGAGCGCGCGAAAGGGCGCTCGTCCGCTGCTCACCTCGCTCACCTCCATCCCGATAGATCAATTACTAGAATTACACCGCGCATCTGGCTGTATTACGCCGGGCAACGCACGTCCGGCGCATACCTACCTCGGTCTTGCGTAGACGCGGCTATCGATTCGAGATGATTAGCGATAATGTCAAGGGAGTCCTGAGGCACGTCCGCGATGGCTCCGTGACCAAGGCGCGCCTTCTGTGTCGGTCGCTACGTAACTATGATTCCACCTAATTGAAGTAACCACAGGGCGCAACGTTATACCGGCGAATCAGAGAGGGAAAAAGAGGAGAGAAGAAGAAGAGAGGAAAAGAAGAAAAAAAAAAACAAAGGAAAGCAGCAGCTTGAACGAGCGTACGAGCGACGAAAACTTTATGCGCACAGAGAAAGAGAAGCGACGGGTCTTGTCTACATTTATGTATGCATTCTGAAAATATAAAAAACAAAATCCCGTGCGAATAAGATTTCTCATTTTTATATATAATCGCGATGTTTGTAACTGTATCTACTGGGTTGGAACAAAAGTTCGTAGTGTTTTTCAATAGGTGGCGTTTAAACACGTAAATTCATTTCACGCATGACTGAAACATATATATATATATTTTTTTTTTTTGCCACTCAAGTAATTAAGCCAGATATAAATCAAATTGCAAAGTATACTTTTTTTTTCTCAGAATTTGTACTTAAATATATGCATACATCTTTTGAGTCCGCCGAACAAATACTAACAAAAAGGGATCAATATGACGTTGGATAAAGGTCGGACGAATCGATAAATAAAGCAAACCGAATTTGTACATATGATATAAATATATTTATATGAATATTTTGTTATATGACCGAGTCTACATATTGTTACGACACATACAGTACTAATAAATGTTGTTACTTTTAACTGGATTTGTAGTGTAAAAGTTGATTAAACATTTTTGATAAAGTATTTCTTTGCAATCTGCTTACTCGATGTGAAAAATCGAACGTCTCACGACAATAGTACATTCGAACGTGTGCCGGTCGGCTAATAACGATATGTGACAATTCGGCCATGTGAAAAAAAATTAATCGGTAGCACGCGGTCGAGACTGAATCGATCGTCGCCTGCAGCATCGTGTTGATAGAATCTCTTTAGTATATATATGATTTTATGTGAACATTGTAAATATCGTTTAAAAATGTCTCAATTTCTGTGTCATGGTCGCGAAATTTACCGATAGTATTTCATTATACAGGGTGTACCTGCACGAATCCCGAAATAATTATCGGACCCTCCGCATAATAAACGCGTGTAGCATTCAAAAATATATGAAGAGAAACTGGTTGACTGTGAAAAATCGTTTCTTCGAAAAAGTTAGCTGCCGTGTATGCCTTGAAAGATGCGATTCGAAAGATGATGTAATTGTTAGCCACGCTAAAGAACTCTTGTAACACCATAATGTTTCAGATACGGTGAATATCGAAATTAGCTGCGACTTATCGATTAAAACGGTTCCCGGGAATTAATATTCGAGTAAACTTATCGTACATATACCGTGTCCGAAATTGCTTAAGATTCTTCGAATTGATAACGATACCGTACAATGGGTTAACGGTCTGTTAGAAATAGTCTTTATGCAATTGGTAATACCACGCCTAAGAGATACTCTTATCGAGATATTTATCATTCTATACATTCACCGTAAAGTTCTCTCAATAACGAAACTCTGGAAACTTTTCATACCCAGGGCAAACGATCGATCTTTTAACTAAAGATACTTGGATACATTCCGTTAGTCAAATGAGTACTCTGTCATACAGCTGGGATTCAAAGTGACGACTATTTCTATATTGGTAAACGCTCTTTGACTTAAAAAAATATTCTCGAACAATAGCACCAATCTTTACTTCTTCTCTTTCCTTCTCTCTATCCTTCTCGGATATGAACATTAAGAGCCAACAAGTTTTAAAACCGTTTCGAGATTTACCCGAAAAATATACATATCGAATCAACGTCAAATTGAGAAATCAGAACAATCGGAATTACATCGACGTCGATTCGATGAGCCATTTATCGCTGGTAAAATCTTTCAGGCACGTCCTCTCCCTTCAAAAATCCCGTTGGAAATGAAGGCTTTGTGCAAGTTTCCTCAAAAAGGCATTCGATATCGTTTGACAGAAGAGTCCTTCAACTTTACAACTCAATGAATTATTGCCGCACACCTTATGGAATGTGTTTGCACTTTCACCGTATAGAAAGCGGTATATGCGCGATTGCTATGTTCTTCCCCCAGTTGTCGTATGAGGAGGCAAATTTTAGTTCTATTTAGTATAATATATACTACACACAAGACTGTCGCCTGGTACTACGTTTATATCGACGTCATGCATGTGTCCTTTCGATGGCAAGTGCACCGCTCTTACAGAATCATACACTTTCTCTTCTTCACTGGCTCAGGCGGTTCCAACGCAGCCAAGATGGCTTCATCAAATACGTTCTTCAAGCCTTTCTTAAATTTCAGAATAATCACAATTTCAGAGAGATATATGTAATTTACAATACAGTGTGTTTCATTTTATGTTACACGACAGATTATCTTAAAAGTAAAGAATTTTTGTGAAAAAAACGTTTCATACAAAAGTTGTAGGGTTTCAAGCGGCTCATTACATAATATTAGTGCGATCTTAAATAGTATTGTTAAGGTTATATAAAAATTACTTCGAAATTTTCTCATGGAAATCCTTCTTTTTTATTGCATATTCTTATAGCTGACTTCGAGAGAACATATTATAATAAAGTTACTTTTCGTTAAATATTTTCCGAGATATGAAGCCTGAAAGTTACGATACTTACAGTGCGCGCGCGAGTGAGTAGCTCCACGTGCTATAAAAAAAAAGTGGCGGCGGCTGAGCTCCACCTACGCACACTCATAGGCATGCACAAAACATGTAAATCCAATCTCTGCACCTAGCGCACCTTGAACAATAATGCTGGTGGTGCTGTAACCTTCAAGCCTCATAACTTGGAAAGTACTTCATGAAAAATAACTTTATTATGGTGTTTTGAAAGGATCTCGAGGTCAACTACAAGAATATGCGATCCGAAATAGGGATTTTCACTTAAATATTTCAAAGTAATTTTTATGTGACCTTAACATGCTGTCCAAGATCAACATTAACATCGCCCGAATTGTAATGCACTATTTAAAACTTTATAACTTTTATATGAAACAATTTTCCCGAAAATGCTTTATTTTCAAGATAATCCACTGTATTATTTAAAAATGAAACTGCCTGTATAAACTGCTAACATAACGTTTTATATGCACTTTTCATTTAAAATTAAAATGACATATTTTCTGCAAAATGTTTGATAAATAAAATATCGTTTCGTTCCTCACTTGTGTCAGAGCACTGCATTCTACATATTTTACAGCTTTAAGTTCCTTGGCGAGTTTCTCTCCCTGCTCTGCCGATATTGGTTTCTGCTTATTCTTTGCGAGCTTTTCTAACGTCGCGCCGTCATCTCTTAAATCAATTTGTGTTCCGACAAGTAAAAACGGAGTTCTCTGACAATGATGTGTTATTTCAGGCACCCACTGCAAAGAAGTGTAATTAAAATACCACAATATTAGTTAACATTAATATGTGTAAAGATAATAACAGTATATAATAAGATAATAACAGTATATATATATCACCTTTTCTTTCACATTTTCGAACGACGATGGTGACACAACCGAGAAACACACGAGAAATACATCAGTTTGAGGATAACTTAAAGGACGCAGCCTGTCATAATCTTCCTGACCTTAAAAAACAGAAATTATAAAATCGAGTTATTAAATATAATTAAACTGAAAAAAAGTAAACGAATTACATATATATATATATATATATATATATATATATATATATATATATATATATATATATATATATATATATATATATATATATATATATATATATATATATATATATATATATATATATATATATATATATATATATATATATATATATATATATATATATATATATATATATATATATATATATATATATATATATATATATATATATATATATATATATATATATATATATATATATATATATATATATATATATATATATATATATATATATATATATATATATATATATATATATATATATATATATATATATATATATATATATATATATATATATATATATATATATATATATATATATATATATATATATATATATATATATATATATATATATATATATATATATATATATATATATATATATATATATATATATATATATATATATATATATATATATATATATATATATATATATATATATATATATATATATATATATATATATATAAGTAAATTAATATTATAATGCTATATAAATAAGCTACATAGAATGCAACATGTACGCTTGATTGAAAAACGGTTTAGACACTATATTTATAATTGGTTCTTATATTTAAAATCGTATTAAGTTTATCTGCAGATGCTGCAAGGCTCATTTTGTGTCACGCATCAATGTGTATCACGCATGTGTATGTATATGCATGTGCACTTATATGTAATAAAGAAGAAGAAATCTTACCTGCTGTATCAAATAATCCTAATGTATAGGGGTCACCACCTATCATCACAGTTACCGCATAATTATCAAAGACAGTAGGCACGTATTCTGAGGGGAATTTGTTCGTGGTATATGAAATCAAGAGACACGTTTTACCAACTGCTCCATCACCTACCACGACGCACTTTATCGTTTGCATCTTAGCGTTCTCTGTGTGACCTGAAATAATATTGCAAACATATAAAAAAAATATATAAACAATGATAATTCAAGAGGTGAGAAGTACCAATGTAGAAGTAGAACAAAGTTTTTTAATTAACATAAGTGCTTTACCGTTTAGTTAAACGGATTTAATCCACAATATTGCACGATAATTTTATCAAATATCTTAGAATTGCATCATTCGAAAGATATTTCAAGCGAATTTCTCTAGTTTTAAGGGAATGATAAAATAGTAACTCTGGTCTGATCTGGCGTGATGTCACGTGATGAGGTCAAAAGGGATCATAACAATTTTTCAAATGAAAACCTTTTTTTATTGCATATTATTGTAACTGATGTCGATATGTTTTTAAAATTCTAGTACATGCCTCCTTTGATTAAGCTATTTTCACGTTGGAAAATTCAAATATTTAACGACTGTTAGCATCAACATTATTGAAGATGTAAGAAGAGATGAATAAATCATTTCTTTCCAAGTGTAAAAATTTCGTTGTAACAACGTATTCCACCCTTAACCTAAACTGATATATGTGTACCTGCGATGCATACATGCCGAACTTTTAAAGCATTCTCGCCATAGGACGAGATAAAAATGTTACCGGTCTACAAAACGGACGTGAAATCGAATTTGCCAACAGAAGACGAGTTTCCTACGCTAGATTTTCGTGTGACGATGCTTCTTAACGTGCCAACCACGATGAAAGAATTACCTGGGAATTTGTGAGTCTGTCATTAAAGGTTAAGCACGTAGCTCATAATCCGTAATCCGGGAGCGGCTCCAGATGTGCTGCCTCCATGCAAGAATTGTGCCTGTCAAATGCAAAATGCGATGTGTCGTCCAACAAAAAAGCTCCAACGTGATCTCCTTGATTCCTTATCGCAACATATACAATATCTCCTCGGCGATTGCCTCTCTTTCTCTCTCTCTCTCTCTCTCTCACAATATGGTTTCAGGCGGCCCGAATGTGCACCCCCAATATCACCAATGAAGAGTTAGAGAGAATTTTACACCTTGACAGAAAGCAAAAAAGCAACGACCAATCAGAATTCGCGCTGGTAGTAAGCAGTAGATAAAGCAGAAACTATCGACTACGAAGCACGAATTCTGATTGGCTGCTGCTTTTCTATCAAGATGTGAATCCCCCCTAAGTCCCTACAATGACTGCTTTAAGCCTTTAAAAACTGACCAGTCACAGTTGATTTTTCTCTTCAAATTCGACTGTGATTGGTCAATTTCTTAAGGCTTAAAATATGTATTGCGGACTGACACATGTGTTGGTTCCATTATATGCATAACATTGCGCATAAGATACTTCTGTTCTTTAGATCATGTTCATAGCTCGACGTCTACGTTCTCTTTACATTATTATAAGTTCTATAATTATATATTGCATAACGATTTTCATGTAAGATGCAATATAATATTATTATGTTGTATGTTATTATTATATATTATTGTTTAGTGGACTGATGGCGTTTTCGATTTATTGACTTAACCCGGATGTAGCTACAAAGAATGTAAACTGAGAATAAAATTTTACTATTTTTTTGACCTATATAATTATATTGATAATCTAGATCTCTTAATTTAAAAACAGGAGTATTCTTTATGAGTATATATTCTAATTTGTTCTATATAACATAGTATAATACATATTCATATAAAACTTGAAGACATGAGTAGAAAAATAATAGTAAGTTTCGTGATATTAACTTCATTTTCCTTCTATATCAATTGTTACGAATAATATGTATGAATTTATAAATATTTGTATAGCTCTTAAGGACGTGTGTTATTTCACTATTGCCAGTAACAAATTTTGCATTACCTCCCCTAATTATCTCATCTCTGGTTTTGAGAAGGGTTGCAAGGAACCAGGCTGTACCCACGATAAACCTAATGGCCTATTCTCTTCTTCATTCTGCTAAGTACAATAAATTCACTGATTAATACTTATTTAATTCGTGTTGTCATATTGTAGATATAAGTAATGACCGAGCACTTACTTTTGGCTCGTAAATCTCTCGCTTAATGGGATCGTGTAGTTCACTCTCATACGGACTAAATGTAATATAATGCGGATCATCCATGCTAGATGGGTTAAATACTTGATTTACGCTTTCTCTCACACACATTTTCACACGTTCTCGAAAAGTTTCGAAATTCTTTTCTTGTCTGTAATGTTGGTACTTAATTTAATATTTAAGAAAATTGTGCCTCGCATAATATTATAATAACGCCCTTGCAATTTTTTTGGCAGATACAGCATTCAAACGCGAAGCAAATAATCATACTTACAAGACAGATGCTTCCTGATTCACTGGAGTCATCTTTGCGTCCAAATTGATAAATATTTTTGTAATATATTGTAGTAATTGCCATATCCTGTTGGTTCTTCTCCATTCAGGAAACCCCCACGACGTACACAATTCTCCATTTTCAGGATTTATTAATGGATGGAAGACTTGAGTTTCAAATACAACTTTCTATAACATATCAGTAATTCATGGATATGAGGATACAAGCAAGAAAGATTATTCATAATCCAGTATTCTTACAGGACAATCTCCAAACGGGAAATTTGAAGGCAATGTAATGTTGAATCTGAACACGCCACCTTTGTAGATCCCTTGCCGAATGAACTGTACACCGAACCAAACTATGACAGAATATATAAATATTATATATTAGAATTAATGCTGAAATTGTAATGACGTTAGAATGAAACAGATAAGAAGTTATGCATATATTTACATCAGAACCATTATATAAGTTGTAATCAGGATGAGCAAGACCTATAAAATAGGTTCACATCTATCAAAAACACACTGAACTTCAGTAAAGAAAACAAATATAATATACAAACAAGAAACAAAGGATAAGAAATTTTTCAGCTTTAAATTACAATGTTAAAGTAGTACAACTACTTGTTCCCATTATATTAATGTTACAAAATTCAAGTTATCATAGGAAACATACAAATACAAAAAATATATATATACACACACATATATATATACTAAATGTTATAAATGCATTAAATATAACTCAACATGCATAACCTCTGAACGGTACTTACAAAAAGAATTTAAAGCAGACGGTATTACATAAATTCCCTTTAAATCTTGAGAGCATAACATTTTACTGAAAGATATATAAAATAAATATTCCTTGAATATGATTATATCATATGTATAATATCAATATCAATCCTTTCAAAACTTACTATTCTGAAAGAATATTGTATTCCTGCAAGAAAACAGCATGTTGTTTGTTGGTCTGTGGAACAATTGGCCTGTCTATCATTTTTACAGACATACTTAGCGGAGAATTCCCATTATTACTTAAAGGCACAAGTTTCCTGAATGAACCTTGTCTCTTAAAGTTGTCATCTGCACTGTCATCACCCTGAAATAATATAACAAAACCTTGTAACATTTTGAAATACATTTAAAAAAAAAAAGTATATTTACTTATATCATTTAGCATTATTAGCTCTAATTTTACTAGTTTTATTCAACGTAAAATTTTTACTGAAGGCAGATACAAACATTACCTTGATTCCTGACATGATAAATATGTCTGAAGCAGAAGGTGTGTAGAGCCTAAATATAAATATCTATCTATATCACAGATAACGTGATGATAAATCGCTAATCTGCTGATAATCTTCAAAAGATATCGAATCATTTGACATGTACAACTCAAATTGATACATCGACTGACAGGTTATATTTAATAGGTTAGGAATCTTGAATAAATGGAGTTTGAATTTTAGAAAAACTTCGAGGTTTGGCTGTAAAAGAATACCAATTTTTCATAATAATTATATATTATAATTATCAAGAATAACAGATTACCTTGTGATTAAAAAAATGATAATAATTAAAAATCAAATTTTAGAATTAAAGGCCTTCGCACATATGTGGTTTGTTCTTTTTAGCTGTGCTGCTGAACTGATGTATTTAATTAAAGTGAGACAAGTATATTTTGTCTCGTTCTAATGGCGTCATCGTACTGCGTTCTGATTGGTGTATTCTTAGAAATGCACCAAACAGATGCAATATGATCATTTTGAGTCGGGTCAAGTCAGCAAATAAAAAACACCATAATTTATTGCACCACTTCAGCAATATAGCCAAAAAAACAGACCAATAGATTGTAAGCAGTAAATGTCTTATTGCAACTTTGTAATTAGTAGTTGCGAATCCTTCGCGACTGGCGACGGGTATTGTACAGGGTGCGACAGCGTAACTTCCTTTTTTGAAATCCCGCGTTTATGCCAACCGTCCAAGAACCCTAGAAGACCTGAAGGCTAACATTCGGGAAGAAACGGCCAACATACCCGTCACTATGCTCGAAAGAGTAATGACAAACGCCAGAATTCAGTTTACCCAGTGTATAGACAATGGAGGGCGTCACCTTTCGGATATGATTTTCAAAACCAAGATAATACTTTAGATGTCTACCTACATAAAATAAAAAAAAAATAAAAAGATATGTGCCTCATAAAATACATTTTATTGAATTTTGAAAAAAGGAAGTTACGCTGCCGCTCCCTATAGAATGCTTTTAAGCCTTACGGAAAATTTCATACCTTGACAGCAAAACAAAAAAGCAGCAAAGCCAATCAGAACTGACGCTGATAGTGAGCAATAGATAATGCAAAAACTGTCAACCATTAGCGCAAGTTTTAATTCTCAGGATTTAGGATCAAATATATATTTCTATACTAATTACAAAAAGAAGATTATGTATATTAGAATATACGAGAGCATTCGCAAATTTTTTTTATCTCGTTTTCCTCCTTTCTCATTTCCGTTCTTGCTTCAGAGAATGTCCCGTACTTTAATCATTTGACTCTTATATTTTAAATTTAATTTCTACGATATATTCATTTTTTTATTAAAAAAAAAATAAGTAAAAACATGTTTCAATAAACCGCTTTAATGTGGATTTGAAAATAAAAAAATAATTAACAAAACTCGAATTTACGATTTACAGCGTTCTCGTGTAGTATATATATATGTATATATATGTGTGTATATATAAAACCCCAAAATATGTATGTATGTATGTACGTATGTATTTATGTATATATATGTATATTATATATATGTATGTGTATATATATAAAACCCCAAAATATACCCAAAATCTATAACACGCACGTATAATAGAATTACGTTAAGAACTTAATACAAGTATTTTTTTCGTGTTGTTCCTTAATCCGAATCCATAATAGGTGTAGTAAGCCTTTAGTCTTTTGCTCTAAACATTAAATTGTAACGCAATTTTGAGCAAAAGCATTTCCAGCATCATTAAATACTAAAACGTTTCCAGCATCATTAAATACTTCGCAATTACTAATATTTAAACGTTATTGCAATTTTTGGTAACATGCTTTTTGTCAAAAATTGTTATATTTTATTACTTCGAGAAAAAAGTCGAAAGTTTACTATATATCTATTGTGAATTCAGACTTGTACATTCGTTTAAACAAATGTAAATTTTATCGAATATAAATTTCCAAATGCACACGTTCGAATAAGAATGTGCCAAAGCACATGATCCGACTTGCCCGCAAGTGAACCCAAAAACAATTTGATTCCTTTCTTGATTTTATCCAAATATAGGTCCATATCCTGCAAAAATTTATTGTATTACATATGTGTGCGTGTGTGTAATATATAATTATACATCTTAATTAAGTTGACTTACTTGGATTAGGAGCTGGAGGTCCCATTCTATACATATCAGGTGGAACAAATCGCGGTGGAAATGGCCTAACTGGTGCCATTAAAGGAGGATGCCGGCCTCTTCCCAAAGGAGGAACCTGTCCTCTAGGAATGACCATAGGACTCACCACGAATGGTCTCGGAGGAAAAGTCTAAATCGTATTGAAAAATCAGATCAATCACAATTAACAGAGATTTGTTGAATTAATAAATTTCTATTGATTTTACTTACATCATAATAAATACGCAAGGGTACATGTTCAACATAATGTGGTGTATCTTTTCTATCCTTGGATCTGTCTCTGTTTCTATTTCTATCTCGATCTCTATCTCTATCTCTATCCCTATCTCTATCTCTGTCTCTTCTTTCCCGAGAACGTTCACTTGATCTATCTCGATATCGACTGCGGTAAGATTTATTTTCTACGATAGATCTATAATAATAATTAATATTAATTAATACTAATGGCAACAATGATTGCTTGATTTCCAGTGTAGATTTTTTATTTCGTCCGATATTTTTCTTCCGCAAAAAGTCTACATTAATAATAACAGATAATAAGAATGATAATTCCATACTTGGAATGAAAACTGCCTGTGCCGCGTTCTCCGGAATATGAACGATTACCATCAAGTATTCTTTCCTCTCTGTCAATATGTTTTTCTTTATGTTCCTTACTTTCTGTATTACTATGTCTGCAATAAAATAAAGATGAATTTTTTAGAAACAATTTGGACCACTTTCGTGGTTTTTAATCCATATAATACTGAATATTGAAATATTCTGCTGACTAATTTCATGAAATTCATTGCGCACATTGATTTTTATTTTGGACATTAACGAATAATGCCTTATCTATACATCTTTTATTGAACTTATACGTTAATGAAATTTTAATACAATGATACTTAAAATGAGCAATTGATGTAGTTTTTAATACGTAATTCAGTAATATTTCGATGTAATTCATTTTGATCTTAATAAAATATTTCCATCGGAGTCTGATTAAAATTATGGCATAATTAACTAAATATTTCTAAAAACAAGTATATTTTAAACATGTGCTGTTGTAATGGCATCACAAAACATACATTAAATATTTGCATACTATATACAATTTCTGTCTATCTGAGAGTTGTTATTATTAATAAATAAGTAATATATATCTTCTTACCTGTCACTTTTATGATAATCGTACTCTACACTATTATAATTTTTCGATTCGGTATTTCGATATCTAAAACAGAATAAAAAGATATTAGAAGAAATGAATATTTAACAATTATTAGTAGAGTGTGCATAATAGTTAAACGTAAACCTGGTGGGAGCCCGATATCCAGGACTACAACTGCGACTCCTGTTAGAGCTAAATGATGGCGAACGTCTTTTGGAAATTCGCAATTTTCCTACAAAAGTCGAAATGTCGTAAAGTTAAAGAAATATACATTTTTACTAGTGCTATATAACGTAGTAAACATTTTCGACTTATATAGTGCACTAAAATCTCCCTAATCGAAAAATAAAACTTGATAATGAAGGAAAAAGATGTATTTGTGTTTCGTAGACCATTTATTTATGGCATCCAATCCGAATTTCTCGACTTTCATATATCGTAGTTAGTTCATTCTCTTTCAAAAGAAAAGCAGTTTATTAAACGGTGGTTTTTCCCAGATAGCACAAAATGTTCCAAAATCATCCAGAATGTGTCTAGGATACCGTAGGATATTCTGAGCACATTTAGGACGATCCCAGGACATCCTATGTTGTCTGGTATCTTGTCTACTCGGAATTTAGAGCATATTGAAAGAATGTCAAACGCGGATCTTCGATTTCACTAAACAGAATTGAATAATAACTATGGTCATAATAATAATAATATATACCTGATTGCTCGCCGTCTATGGCTACAACCGTACGTCGTTCCTCCACTCCATCAACCACCTTTTTTATTTCATCCCTTTCGAATATTGGTTTACGTCCTTCTCCTGTATAATTTATTATATCTTTTAATAATACAGTTATGACATAAAAGCTATATTAATAATACAATAATTTGCAACCCTTTTGATTATTCAAACAACGTAAGATCTTTAAGTTTAGACTAGTTATTAATATTACTGTTGGATTGTATTGTTATCGTAATATTAAAAATAGCACTACATGTACTGTTTTGATGATTGTACTGTTATTGTAATATTAAAAATAGCACTACAAATATCAGACTTGTGATGCACTTTTGCAAGTAGAGATAAAAATAGAGCAAATAAAGATACTAAAAATGCGAACCTGTATGTTATACTAAGGTAAAATAATCTTATTATTATGTGCAATACTAATTTGATATTTATTTTAAGGCTTGAAAGGCGATCTTCAATGCTGATCTTCATTGTTGCTATAAAAAAAATTCCAAAATATATACTAATTAAAATATTAGTTAAATAATATTATATATACCTAACATACATACCTTTTTTTACTCCTCTAAATTGTAATACAATATTATCCTTTATATATTGCCTCAAATATTGAATAACCAATTGCATTTTGA